TTTTGAATGATGTATCAGATGAATTCAATAGTATCAATTGGATTGATCAAAAATCGACTTTTGGTACTCTTCTAGAATTTACTTCTATTGAAACAATTAATTTATCTGATAAACAAGTGCAATTATTCACTGAAAATGATATTTATGAGGAATTGATGAAAACAATTGAAAATCTTGAAAAGAGACCAACTTTTTTCTCACCACGAAATTCTTCTTCGTCTAACTGATGCGTTATAACGTTTTCCGAGAAAGTGAGTTTTACCAGTGAGTCCTGAGCAGATAAATTACCTTATATATCGTCTCCATAACGGCCATAATAGGAATTTTCGAATTTCCAGCTAGAAAATTAGGTCTGATGGATTTTAGGAATGACTGCCGTAATGGGCAGAATGAGTGGACTAGGAGATGTGCCGTCATAGAGTTCAGTTCGGGCTGTGTTTTATTTTTTTTCGATCATGGTAGGATCGACTTTTTTAGGGGACAAGACAGCAAATGGCATAATCTCTTCTTTGTGTTTGTCCAGGAGGACACGATGGAATTTAGCAGCGCATTCAAGTGTCTTGCGGTAGATTCGAAATGAAATTCTCTATCGAACGATATCGGTTGACCGAGAGTTATCAAGCAACAAAAGCATGTTCTATGTTAGATACGGTCAATTGCTATAGTAAAAACTACTCATTTTTGCTGACATTCATTTGAAAACGAGACTATGGATGAAAATAGAACATTTTCAGATTTAACGCACTTTAGAACCCACATACTCAAGCTCATAGCATTTTTACTAATCACAAAGGATATAATCGGTTGATTCAACTAAAGAAGTCAATTTAAGATCGATTGTAGGGTTCAATAAGAAAATGTTAGCCTAAAATTATTTAGGATTGCTGGTAAGATGAGAATATCTTGAATACAATACACGTTGAGTTCTTTCCCTCGCGAATTAGATAAAAAAAAACACTAAGATTCAAGTATTAAAGCACACAAAAATAAACTTGAACTTGAAAAGCAAACCTTTTCAGCTTAGTGACAAATAATACAATTCTAAACACACTCATAAAGACTCTTCATGTTCTATATCTCTAATCGTTTCTACAGCTCCTAGCGGGACCCAGAGTTGGAACCGGTGAAGAATATCTAGGCCGGTCCGGCCGGTTGATAAATGCTTTCAAACCGGCAGAAACCGGTCATTTTTCGAATTATTCATTGATTTTAAATTAAGAATAAAGCACATTTTTTCAAGTAAATATAGATCTACAAGCTATAGTCGTGGATGTGTATAAGAATTCGTCTCCTAACAATGAATGGATTAGTTGTCGATGTCATATCACATGTCTTTTTTATATAAGATCTAGATTGTTTCTAAAAGGTTGACTATTTACTTTTCGTTTCATTTATTTCATTAGAGACTTAAATCATAAAATTGTTCTTCAACAGAAAAATGACAACCCTAGACGAACTTTTCTTTTCATTCTTGAGCCAGACAGGTCTCAAGATGTGTCATGATCTCTTGAGTTTCTTTCCATTGAGAAGCACTTGAACGCTTGCATGAGTCATGCACAGATAAATTACATGTAATATGCGGAATGCATGAGAATCACAAGAGCCAGACAGTTAAGCGCATGAAAATCAAGAATATAGAAAATGGTGCTCAATACGATTTACGATGTGAAAATGCTAAATTATCGACTAATCATTCTTGAGACAATGCTTTTATTTCGGACCGTACTATACGTATAAGACAATTGGCCAGTAATGTGTACAGAAAGATGTATAAAAATAATCATCAATGAAGCTACAATAGGAGTCCATTCCCCATGTTTAAATGTTATTCTCATCATTTTCAGCGATGACGCGCGACGAAGGATTGGCATCATTAGCTTGAAATTGAGGTAAAATGTTATCGACATTTTGAGCATTTCGAAAGTTTCGCCACATTACATTTCGTTTATTGTCGTGTTTTAACTGCCGAACAGATTCTTTGACCACTTGCCAAGTATCCTCAAATAATTCAACATCCGTGCGGAGTCGTTGATCGCATTTTTTCATTGCATCTAAAGTAAAAGTTATATTAAAGTACTATCCACAAATACTCGATACTTATTTTGTATTTCTAAAACTAACTGCCCGTTTGCTAACAATCGATTCGGCTCGGAAGCGTATCCTGCTTGTCGGAATATTTCTCGTACAAATCTTGTATGTTCGTTAAATGCAAATTTGAAATTGGTAATGTCAACGCCAACAACGAACTAAAAGAAGAACATAATAAATCCTGTTGATTCATGTATCATTCTTACTTCGGGATCGGGTTTCGCTGGTGATTGGAGCGGCATGTCGTTTGAATTCACCAAATCTTTTCTCTAAATAAAGTAAGTACCACTACTACCACCTACTAAAAATATCATTCTAACTTACTTCGCGTAAAATGTCTCGTCCTTTTAATATTCGAAACGTTTTTTCAAGGACTTTTAATCGTTTGTTCGTGTTGTGCCGAAGAAGCGAGATCTTTTTTTGTAAATTGATTATCGTGGTATCAGAATTCTCCACTGGCTTCATTTGTGTGGATCGAGACTTAAGAAAAAGATTGATACAATCATGAAAATTTAAAAGTCATACCGCTCGCTTCCGTTTCCTCTGTACCGCTTTTACCGTGGTTGCTGTCAATGCATATTCATCATCGTCATCAGATGCAGATAAATCGCTATAACGATAGCTAATCTCAGGTAAAACACCTAAATTTAAAAACACAAACCGGTTAATAATCTGAGTGGAAATAATTACTTGTGGAGTTTTGCATATCTTCATTGCTGTTCAGCGTCTCATCAATAATTAATGCTGCAGGAGATGAAAAATCTAAGAAAGGAAAAGCAGAAAGTGAATTCTGCGAATATTAAAGTAGTTTAAAAAGGATGACACTGAAACATCACTGAGACATTGTAGTTCTAAACAAACCTTTATCTTGCACAATATTTTGAGTTAGAGTTGTCGTTGGTGCATCAATATACCCCAGTGCGCCACCTTGACCATCATCATGATGTGTAATACGTACTTGATTGTTTGAATTTTGTTTATAACCACTAATTAGGCTGAAATCTAATGTCGAATCTTTTGTCTTATCAACTAAATAAAATGGTAAGGCTATATGTAAAATACAGAGGAGCTTTTCCGATTACTTTTTATTTGCAGATGATACATAGCATCATCTTGAACATCGGCGCTTTTAGACGCATAAACATAATTTTCATCCATTTCATCATCTTCGTTGTCGTTCAGTGGTTGACGATCAACTTCTTCGCTTCCTGTGTCACGACTAAATTGAGTCGATCTCTCTCTAAATTTAGCTTGCGTTCCTGTAAATGAAATTTTGAGAATATCATTGTGAGAAGGGTCAAAGTTTTATTCTTACCTTCTTGAATTATTCGAATAGACTGCAAGAAGCCCGATGATTTGACAGTGCCACATTGTTCATCTATGGCATCAATGATGACGCGATGTTTTGGTAAAATTGTATGTTTATTTTTCTTTGAAAATGAAGCAAGAACATAAATATTTGGATCGTAGTGAGAATTCGGCTTGATCAATCGCTTTGGTCGTTCCATTGGATTATCTGTATATCTAGAATAAATCGATAAAGTTCAATAAAACGATAGTAACACGCCATGTAACCGCAGCTCATAATATTCAGTCGTGTTCAAAATCGAAAGCCACACATACAAATGAAAAAATATCTAACTCAAGGGTGAGGATTCTAATCACTTTCTTCGCTATCGCAGATATAGGTAATATGCGATAAAGAAATACTTTTTCATCAAAGAATGCAAAATGAGAATCTATTATTTTTTTCACCAATGGTAACACTGGTCTAGCCAAATCGGAAGTTAAACTTCGCACAATGCACGGATATAGTTTTACAAAAGCGTATTGTTTATTGTTTAGCGTAAAAAGAAAGAGAATAGATGCAAAGCACGTGTCTTTTCTTGTACATCCAGAATATTTTACAGAGACAAAGTGACTGATTGAACGGCCGCGACGTGAGTAGGACATAGAATGAAAATAAATGAAACCACGATTAAATCGAGAACGAAAAGAGCAGTCAGCTGGGAACGCACAATAATCTCGTAAACAGAGAGCGAATTCTTTACGAATGGAAGCAATGAAATTAATATCAATGAAAGAGCTGGTTAAAGTTTCTTTCGAAAAGGTGTCATGGACAGAAATAGATTTAAGCTTGTGATTATGTGTATTGTGGTATATTTCGTACCACGAGACAAGTTGACTTAACATATGAGTTTTCCCCTTGCATAGTTTTAAAATGTAAGCAAGATACGATTCTCGGGCAAAACACGAATTAAAGCATAGTGCTCCATGTAAATAGGCCTGTAATAATAAATGAGAATGATAATGAATTGTTGCTGATTCTGAACGATTAGAATACAGACGAGAAAGGGATTCCTGATATGAACGAAACAAACTATCGATATTGCCTAACTGTTTCTCATCTGTGAAAAAATAAAGAGATTTCACAAACGTATAGTAAAGGAGAAAATGAACTGCGTAATCGTCAGGTAGAAAGTAAATAACAAAAAACGGTGAGATGTATAGAAAAAAATCGCGCAACATTTTTGCCTTCCATGTAGAAAACTCACACAAAGAGAAAAACTGATATTCGAAAGAGTGAGGAAGAAAGATCTTTGATAAAAACTTAGCTCCGTTTTCAAAAACGGCATTTCCAAACATTTGTTTCCATGAAGTTAATAACGTTTTTACATGTCCATGGTAAATGAGGTGCATAGAATCATACGGCGTTTGATTCGGCAGTAAGATAATTGAAGATAACGGTGTTGGACCTTTGATACTTTGAATAGAACGGCTGTTGTTGCTGTGTTTAGAATTTTTCAAATAAAAAGTGTGAGTCTTTTTAAATTCATTGTTCTTATTGAATGAAAAATACACTGGTCGTCCAATTACAACTCCTACAAATCTTGATTAAAAAGTCGATTGCTGTTGGAACAAACTTTACCTTTTATACAAGAGTCACCGCAACCATCGTATCCATTGTACTGAACGAGATTTAAAAAATGTGCTCGAGCGGGTAAATCGAATATTGCTTGTTGTATTCGAACGCTGTACAGTAAACGACGGCCTAAACCTTAAGACTATGTAGCATTGAGAATCAATTGAACTTTGCCATCTCTTTGCTTGATTGAAATGTTCGAACTCATCAAATGTTCCAGTTGGTTAACGATTGGTTGCTGCTAGCCAAACACCAAACACCATAACTGCTGACTTCCAGTCTCGCACTGGTACCGGAATTTCCACAATGGTGGCTTGTATGGGCCATACAGATTTTTCTAAAATGAAAAAAACGACTCGTTCTGAGCAAAACACAAATGGTACAATAACGGAAAAATTATTTATCACGATAACAAGGAAGAAAACGCGAAGATTTATATATCTAGTTATCTTCAAAACTCTCCAAATCAGGATGATAGTTTTGAATGTAATTTCGTTCATCCGCACATATTGGTGTAACTTCAATTGCTCAATAATACTTACTACTCACAGTCACAACAGGCGCACCATCTCCGTGTAAAACAATAGTGATGTTAGGGTGATTTGAATAACTAGACAAACTTTGATAAACTTTCCCTAGGAAAATACACAAGTATTTCGCTCTTTCATAATCAAAATCAAACCATTGATAAGATCACAAGGAACCAACTGCTTTCCATGTGTTGAATAATCATTTATAAGATCAACGTAACGTTCAACTACGCGTCGTATTTCATACTCGATATTCATAATAGCCAACTCAGCAATTTTTTTGCTTGACCGATATTGGCCATTATAGATACAGTTGGAAGAACACTCCTCTTTGTTGGACTTAGCTAATAGAGCACCACAGTTTACACAATGTAAAGAAACCTAGAAAAACGCATTGTGCATATTGCAGATGACAAGATAAATAGCAAACATACCTGTGGAATATTTGTGTTGCCCGTTATTTCGAACAATTTGTAAATGGTTTTTGGTAAATGGCAATCCACCGGAAAAAAAGATCGAATTTCTTTGAGTAAAAGTTGTGTTTTCGTCTTGTCAAGATTCAATAATTGCGTTAAATTAATCAATGTAACGCATGCTTCATAAGCTGAGACGGGACTACCTGAATAGAGTGGAGTTTTCCGATTGAAATCATCTATATCTATTTCATCGATTAAATCTTCAATATTTATTTCATGCTCATCTAGTTTGTGTCCTTCATCACTTTCACTGCATTCATCGAAGTGTGATTCTGCTACAGATTCTTTTCGAGTATTAGGTGAAGCGCCGTTGAAAGTTGAATAATTCATTGATAGTGCATCCTGAACTGGTTGATCTATATAATCTCGAAAGTTTTTCTCTTCATCACCACTTGAGTTTTCGATGTTTGCCTAACATGATCACAAGGAATAGTATAAAATGAAAACTAAATATATTACTGAAATTGATGTTAAGATTTGTTTAAAGTGGTTTATTTTTGCAAAAGACCGAGATACTCTTTTATATTTCAAATTGATTTGCCGTTTTGAAGTTCGGTTTACCATCTATAAAGTACAAAAAAATAATCCAGATGTTTCTAATGAATTCTGTTGATGAACCAGTATCTTATATAACACTACTTCGTACTTGTCCACCTCGGCTAGTTTGTACGAAACAAAAATCTTTTCTTCCTAGATTCCCCAATGGTATTCGTTCTTCGTATGTCAACAAATCAGCATACGTTCTTTTTCCTTTACCATGTGTTGTCATGGATGTGATCGAAACATATTCTCTTTTTTTCTATTGTGTCTATGTCTATCTACGTATCGTGTGCAAAATGGAGATAAACAAACAATGTACTATATATTATCGTTCGTATTGAAAAAGGAGTTAAACGCAGTAAGGAAAGAGCTGATTTCTAATAATATTCAAGTGCATGACGTGTGCTTGACTATGTATTGACACATAAATCAAGAATTGTACGTAATTGAGCAAGAAAGTCAAGTTCTTGTGCAAATCTCCTGTCATCAAGTCTTGACTCAAGATAAGTCATGACGGCATGACATTCTGGAGTCAGAATCGTCGGTTTCTCATGTTCATGCCAAAAGAACTTTGACTAGGGTGTTCCTACTGAAAGGGGGATGATTTGAAAAAAGTAAAAAGCGTTTGTATGCATGTCTGTCGCAGTTCAAGAGTCAAATGTCAGAAATTTTTTTGAACTCATAAACTATATTACGTATATGCGTACTCTTGTTAAAGTTGACCGCCAATATAATAATAGTTTTCAAAGATATTGTAGTCTTCCCACCCTCAAGTTTAAAAGATTCTGAATCATCGTCCATGTAACCACTGATGAAGCAGACATTTATTTATTTCAATGATGAACAACACAAAAAGCAAAAATCTATTTAGTGTAAGGTACGCCCATGAGAACTCGTACACTGTTTGTTCCTTTATCAAGAAATATCAAATCATCTTTTCCATCTCGATTTAAATCCATCGATTTGATTGAATGACAGCATGGATTAGAACAACTTTGATTACTTTGAAATGATAAATATTTCCGATTGAAAAGTCCAATTTCTGTTCCAAGAAATATCGTGACAGTTCCATCACAATGTAAAAGAGCTAAATCATCAATAAGATCATTATTGAAATTGATTCGAGTAAGAGATGTTGGATAATTGGCTGTACGATAAATCGAACGAACATCTTCCCACCAAAAATTATCCAGAAGATGATGTAAGATGATTTGTAATGTATCCGATCGAGAGGAGAGAAGTGCAAAATCAGGAAAATTGTCGCTGTTAAACTTTCCCGTAATGATAATCGATGGAAATTGAAACATTTCATGAGTTGATGGAATACATTCGTATGAAAGTGAATTCAATCCAGTTGATCCAATACAAGCTTTTGCTTCAGCATGTTTATTAAGCCAAACGAAATCATTCTTCTTTCCATTATTATCAAGATCATCGATAACTATCGAAATAATCGTAGTTGAGAAAATGTCATGTCCAGATGGAATGCAATTGTAATCATATCCATTGCCCAGATTTAAACAAACACTTAATGAATTAAAGTGAAAGGGATCGTTCAATTCTCGGCAAACAATAATATCTAGAAATCCGTCATTATTCATGTCACCAATCGCAATTGTGCTTGGAATATTTTCAGATGTGTCATATGGGAAATGATAAGGTGGAGAAAGAAATAAAACATTTGATGAAGAACCAAAAATGAGAATGATTTGTCGTGTTGAAGATAAAAGAATAACTGAAGAGATATTTGTTAATTTGATGAAAAGAAAATCAATTCTTACTCAAATCGAAATATGTATCATTGTTCAAATCACCCGTTAGGATCTCTTCTGGTTTAGAATCCGTTTCAAGTGAGATGATTCTCTGTGTTTGAAATGTTCCATCATGATTTCCCAACAAAATACTTATCGTATCCGAATCAGCGTTCGTCACAGCCAAATCTAAAAGAGAATCATGATCAAAATCACCTGTAACAAATGCAGCAGGGCCATGACCAGTTGAATAATTCAAAGATTGATTATAAAAAGTCATATGAATCGATGAATTCATTTTCAATTCTGTCGTTGAAATGATGTTGTTTATCGCAGTTGTTTGAACGGCACTGAAAGTCAACTGATTTTCCTTCTTTCGAGATGAAAACAATACAGCGAATGCTGTTCCTATTGCAATTAGACCAAGTAAAGTCAAACAAAATAACATCGCTCGATCTCGACGTATTTCTTTTCTAAGAACAATCGAATGAAAGGCAATTCGCATGATGAAATTGTAACTCACGGACGTCGAACTTCTTCCAATGGAACAACTTCAGTCTAAAAATCAGAAAAGCAAACTTGTGCAAATGTCAAGAAAAGATTTACTTGACTCACAGACAAAACGTGAGTTTTTCTTTTTCGACGATCGATAATTTTGTACACAATTGTCGCTAAACAGTGGACAAAAACGTGTAAACCGTTTGTTAAACTACCAAAAGCAGCAATGGAAATTGTGATGAGATTCGCTAAACTCGATTTAGATAAATGAGAATATTGACACAATTTCGGTGCACAATTGTTGTAATAAAGAGCAAATGAGACATTGATGACCCATTGAGAAACAAAAATCTCACTGAGAATTGCTTCGATTGTTACATTTGACAGAGAGGAATCAGTGAGAATATTAATTGGAATCGGTTTTGAATAAAGAATAGATGATTGCAGAAGAGTCAAACACGTCTCGTTATATAAACAAGACAAAGTCGATTGTAAAAGAGCATCGAACATGAAACAACCATGACGAAATCCTGGAAATATTAAATCTCTCTCTTCATGTGACATTGATAATTCATATGTGGATAATACCGAACAATTCTGTTGAATACTACATGAACAACGACCAGCTTCAGTCATATAGACTTTCGATCGAGACAGGACGTGTAATTCTCCTTGTAATAATTGAATAAAAAGATTTTCCAGATATTTTGGTACGAATATCCAATTGGTATAAAACAACGAAGCTAATTGATTGGCGTGGTTGGTTATTTGGATTAATTTGAACATTTCAACAAATTCATTCGAGGTTCGATGTTGAAATTGTTCGATCTCTGATTTGGTTCGAAAATTGAATTCTGAAGAAGATATTGCGAATGCTGTAATAAAACTCGTCTCTTCAAATGTCGACAAAGAGATGTTTAAAACAGTTCGAGAGACTTTACAAAGAATTCCTAAAGCTTGAAATTGAACATAAATGAAATCATGAAAATTTTCACCGGTTAAAACAAAACCATTGGTCGTATCCGGAACAGGCAAACTATTGAGCCAATCTTGTGAAATGAAAGTACTTGAACATATCGGATGAGATTTCGGTTCGAGTGGATGAACAAATTCTTTGTGTTTGATTGCAACACGACTACAAGGACATTTCAAAGTCAATGGATATTTAACAAATAAATCTTCATATGTCGATAATGATGGATATTCAACTGAGATTGTGACATTCTCTTGTTTTAATGAAGTGTAAAGAAGAAAAACCGAGAAACATGTTACGAATAGAATCAGATAAATTCGAGTTTTGTGTCGATTTCGACGTTGGATTTTCGAATGATTTGATGATGGAATTGTTGGATAGTAATTCAATTCAATTAAATTGTTTTTACTGTACAATAATAAAGCTCGAATATGATTGGAGAAACCTCAAATACAAAATAATAAATGAATCAAATGTTACCAACTGTTTCCGAAACTTACGAGTTTTCAAAAATATTCCGATTGATGTTCGACTTTGTTGACGTTGAAGCAAACGCTCGTAAATTCGATTTGTCATTTTAGTAAGACGTGGTAATGTAAATCGTAAAACAATATTTATTCCACCAAGAAATCCAATAAGTGTTATGATAATATCGATTAGATTTAATCGACTATGAAATGTATATTGACATTGTAAGGGATGACATTGATTAAAATAAGTTTCGTAAAAACTTTCATTTGTCCACGAATGAATAAACAGATGATTGGCCAAGATTTCAATTCGATCATATCGATTTGATGATGATGTTGATTGGAGTTTTGTGAGATTCTTTGACAGTGGTGCTTCGCTAATGACTTGTTTGAGTTTATTCAGACATTTATCATCATAGAAACATTCTAATGTTGACATCAGCAATGCTTCAAATGGAAACCATGTTTGAACCATTCCTGGAATGATATCGGCAAAACCATCTTCGACGATGGCGGATATTTTATGACATTTCAAAAATGATAGAGAACTACAATATTTTGCAGTGTGATTTGTTTGTTCTGTTGAGTGATAGCCAACAGGAATTAAGCTAACAACATAAACACCGCTCGAATCGTAATCAGGGATTGAAAAAGCAGAATTCATTGGTGTGATAAATTGATTAATTTGTAAATTTGTTCGTATGAGTTCGATGAGATGTTGAAATGAAACAAGAATGTTTTTTTGGAAATCTGATATCAGTGAATCGATCTGTGTGCGAAATGATTGTTGATTAAGTAATCGATTAGTAATGAATTTAGTTCGATAGAATGATTGAAGAGAATCTCGAATAATTTCATCTGAGATGCGACATAAAGTTGATAAAAGTTGAAAATGAAATTGGGATAAATAACGAAAATCCGTTGTGATTAATTTTGTCGTTGGCGATTGGAAATATTTCACGTTGATCCACTCAGATGTGACGTATGGACTCGAGCAAACTTCGTGATATTGAGATTCAATACGAAAAATCACTCCATAATCAATCGCGATTTGATCACAAGGACATTCCAATATGTGCGAATGTCGATGATGAAGTTCAAGAAAATCGTTCAATGTTGGTGAATCAACAATAACAGTCATTTGTTGTTTTTCAACAGATATGATAATTGTAATGATAATCAATGATGTTACGAATAACATCAAATAAAGACGTGTGACAAGACGTTCAAATTGAAGAAGATTTTCATCTTCTGATGGTGGAACACTTTTGAATAAATTCATTTGGATCAACTTCTGTTTTATTGAGTCAAAGGATCGTTTTAGACGTTCATCAATTGTCAACACTAAAATTAACATATGGAAGGTGAAAATGACGATCAAAAAATTACCTGTATTCGTATTGATTTCCATGTTTTGTGTCATAGACGTTCGTCCTTTTCTGAGAAACTTTCTGATGATTGGCCAGAGTGTTTTGATGAGAAAAGGTGAAATCATTTTCAGTAAAGCCGATAATCCACCGAGAAAACCTATTAATTTTGTGACAATGAATAAGAAGTTCTGTCTTGAAGTAATTGTATATTGACAATAATCAGGCGCACATTTGTTAAAATAATTTTCAAAAATTGTTTCATTTGACCAATCGATAACAAACATTTGTTTGAGTAATTCTTCGACTGTTAAGTTCGGATTCGAACTATTGAGTTTTCGAAAAGAATTTGAAGTTTTCGTTATCATGTTAATCCATGTTTGATCATAAAATATTTCGAGTGTTGAATTAAGTAATGCACTGAACATATAACAGCCTGTTTGAAATCCGGGGACAATGCCATTGTTTAATGTCGACAAACCCATACAATTATTAGCTGTCGAACTGGAACATGTGCATGAAGAACCATCTCGAAATTTGTACTTCACTCCTTGATAAGGCGTTTCTCCTGATTTTTCATGGAACTCCGGAAGAACACTGGTCATTGAAGCTCCGGTCAACAGTAAACTTTGTGCGGTTGTATCTTGAATAAATTTTAATGTTGTGAGAAATGTTCTCGATGAAGATTTGGTAAAATCCGTTAATAATGCAGTCATTTGAATTTCGACGCTTTCAGAAGGAAAAATTTGTGTTTGAACAAATTCATTTTGCAAAAATGTTTGAAGACTATCATTGATAAACTGCCGTGTTAACTGACAAAGTTTACGAAGAGTTTGAAATTGAAAAACAACGATACGATGAATATCGGTTTCGATTGATCTATTCCAAGATTGTTCATAAAGAACATGAAGTTGATGAATATATTCATCAGATATCAAGTCACTTTGACATAATTCATGATAAGACGGTTTTATCCGAATAAATTCGCCCAATTTCACTGCGATTTGTCGACAAGGACATTGTAATGAGACTTCTTTGAGTAAAGCGGTGTAGTTCGTCAATGTCGGAGTAGGAATGACTTTGAGTTGTGTTTGTGAGATAAGGGAGTAATACAATGTCACACCAATCAATGAAGTTAGGAAAAGAAGCAGAAAAATGCGTGTGGTACGACGTTCGTTGCGTATAATCGATTCATTTTCACTCCCACTACGAAACAAATTTAATTGCAATAAGGAATTCTTGATAATCAGCAGACGAGTGGTGAAATAAACGAAGATTCGCATTGTTTTGATCGAAATGGAATATTTTTGAGTTCTAGAACGAGATTTCTCGACAGAAAATATTGATTAGAAAATCTTCGAATGCTATTTTGTAATACACGATGAATTCTATCTACGATTAAGATCTAAACTGGCAGTGGGTTTGATCTCAGTTTTCTACTTGATTACTGATTAATATTGTATAATGCTGCTTTTATCCAAATAAAAAAGTTAAAACGGTAGAGGAAAGATTGGTTCCGTACAAGTATAGTGAGAAAAGCGCCTCTCTGAATAGAAAACATTGAAATATTGAGTAGTAGGCGATAAAACAGGCCTTACAAGATCTCCTATCAGTGTGTCACGCAGTGGAGTCATGATTTTCTTATCAGTGATGATTAACAGATTTGTTGATCATACTGTGTCCTTTTTAACATAAGTGTTACTTTACTAAACTGCGAAATTGATTTCACTTGATCCATAAAGAGCCGTGACTATCGTCTTTTTATTATACAGAATTTGTTCTAGGCCAATAATGACATTATGTTAGTTAAATCTTTTAGTTTCTTTTTTTTCTGATTTAGATTTCTTGTTTAGTACGCAATGAATCAAAATGAAATAAACGTCAGTAGTAGAACCTCTCTAAGGATATGAAGAATTCGTTTGTTACTTTGTAGCCTAACCTAATCAACGATGGTACACGTAATTTAAGAATGAGTGAACAAAGGAAATCGTACGTATATTCACATATTTTGTACATGATCAAATGAGTTTATCTGTTTAGATGTTTGTGCATTCGAAGGAAGATTTTATGGGTTATAATCGTTATTTTACTTGGATCAATTGTTGTTATTTATTTAACTACTTCTAAATTGAAAAAGAAAAATCAAACAACAACAACAGCAATCGAAGGTATCTCGAGGATGAGAGTGTGCTGGATTTCAGATTTGATGTGAACACTAGGATGTCACCGTACATCTTAAAAATCTCGATTATTTTAGATTCGACGGGATTCTTAACTAGTGCAAGTACGGTTTCAATGGAAACAGCCAAAATTCAAATGTGTAATGTTCTCGAATGTCGTTCGATAGTTTTACACTATTTTTCGAAGAACTGGGTGTTCAAATCGGATCAACTAGGTGAATGTAAATATTGCCCATATTTGGATAATGATGTGATGAGTACCGATTGGTTATATCGATGGTACGAAGGAGACTTTTTCATTGAGAACTCCATTGGACAGCGTTGGAAAGGAAATTTACGTATTTGTATAAAAGAATGCTTCAAAAATGCGGAGTGTGTGGGATTTACAAGAAGTAAACACATTTCTCCTTATGATCGTGATGGGGAATGTTGGTTTAAAAACAATGTTATGACTAATCGAATTAACAATCATTCTGATTGGCTCACAGTTGTTTTCAACACAACATCGTACGAAGTACACTGATTTTAATTTGTCACATACTTCTATTTTTTTGTATCTTTACCATATAAAGGAGAAAGTAACAGAAGTTGAAATTGAACTGAATTCAATGATATCAAACGCAGTACCAAAAACAGATTGTCCTGGGCTAGTGAATTGCGTTAGACTCCGTACTCCAGTTATCGATGCGAAGCTATATCACCGCCGTTAATCATCTCAAAACACAGAATTCTCTGAAAAAGAACGTGGATGTGTGATTTTGTGCTACGGGTGCACTGCTTTGCTTAGTTACTTAGGGCATACCAGAAGTAGTGGCGCGGACTCTGTCATTTTTAATAGAAGAGTTTCAGGATTTTTCTTCATATATATTCTAATAGCTCAACCCAGGTCGAGCGTTCCAGCCGCCGGAACCGGCACGGAACCGAGACGGAAAACATCGGAAATCGATACAATTCTGCAGGTTCCGTCTCGGAAAACAGCTGGATAGCACCGGATATTCGCCGGTTCTTTGCCGCCGGATTCCGGCCGGACTACACGAGGAAATTTCCTACGTGCTCCAGTCATTCCCTTGCACCGGAAACGCCATCGCTCTCCTCCATTCCNTTGCGTTCTCTTCTCTGTGGACGAGTATATAAACGCGTGTCTTGTATCAGAACGATGCGATTGATGAGGAAGAAATAAATAAGCGTAGTTCCATCAGCGCATACATCTCTTCCATCAAAAATCGTCACAGTCTTATGTCTCGTAGAGAAAAGAAAAATATATATAAATAAAAAAGAGACAGTTTGATAAGTTGCAGTGTTGGTTGGGTTCGAACGCGAGGTGTTGGAGGGTAGTGTAGTGGTAGTTATCTTCGAAAGAACATCGACGTATATGTGTGAGAATAAATTGATTTACGTTCATACAGTACATCTCTGAACGTAATAAGTGAATGTACACTTGCTATACGATAAGAAAATTTCGAAAAAATAACTCGACGATAAGATATGATTATATCAGGGTTTGCGCATAAGGTATATGTTCAATAATGGATTTTTGAAAACGTAATATATCGTTTCTTAGGTCTAGGTTTTCACGCTGAATATAAATATGGTATTGGTCTATGCAAAATAATCATAATTCAAACAATAACAGTGAGTAAAAGATGAAAGCCTTATATTGAATTGCAAACGATAGATCAAAAAATGGTGTAATAGTTGTTAGTGCACAGCTATTTGTGGCAAAAGCAAAACCGTTGAAGAACTTCCAAATAGTGCGTTTTGTAGCTCTATCGAAGGGGCAGTTTCTGGCAAAGTTTGATGAGTGGACGCTTTTCCTGAGAGAGACACCATTCATCGCACTAAATCCATGATTATCGCTTTTAGTGCAAAAAAAAAGAAGAAACTTATTGGAAATTGTATTCTTCGTTCTTCTTACTATTGTATGATTAAGAAGGTTGAATATGGGGTATTGTGGCTCGTTGAAAGTCCTACACAACCATATAAAAGAAATCTGTTTTATCATATTTTTTGAAAATTTTATAGGAAGCCTACTAATCAGATATTTATCACTTTTTTATTTTTTCGTATGACAGTAAATCGATCATAACTCCCCTTAAGTACTTCGGAAATTAAACTTATTATATACCATTCGACGCGCCTTGAAGAGCTCTACAAGATGGCACATATAGATTCTCAATTTGGGGTATATCGTCTTATCCGACAGGGTCCTTTGAAAGCAGCATGCTTTAATTTTGATCGCTGAAGATTGTGCCCCGCATGAAATTGTACTTAGGGCATACCAAAAGTAGTGGCGCCGACTCTGTCATTTTTTATAGGAGAGTTTGAGGATTTTTCTTCATATATATTCTAATAGCCCAGGTCGCGCTCTATCATTTTATGATATTTCATAAGTCTTCAAATGGTACTATAGAATGGAAAACTTAGCAAAACAGTAGTTAGTTCACAAAAAAATAGTTTTTTACCTAGTTTTTGATCGATTTCCCCCTTAATACTCAAGTTTTTTATGATAAAAATACGATATTTATAATCAGCGCAAAAAACTGAATCGATATATATATACTTCAAAATCCTTCGTCGACTTTCATTTTCATCGAAAAATTAGCTGTGGTCTTCCGGGTAGGGTACATCGAGATTTTCTAGCAAAATGAAAGTCGACGAAGGATTTTGAAGTATATATATATCGATTCAGTTTTTTGCGCTGATTATAAATATCGTATTTTTATCATACGAAACTTGAGTATTAAGGGAGAAATCGATCAAAAATTAGGTAAAAAACTATATTTTTGTGAACTAACTACTGTTTTGCTGAGTTTTCCATTCTATAGTACCATATGAAGACTTCTGAAATATCATAAAATGATAGAGCGCGACTTGGACTATTAGAATATATATGAAGAAAAATCCTGAAACTCTCCTATAAAAAATGACAGAGTCGGCGCCACTACTTCTGGTATGCCCTAAGTATATAAATATATATAAGTGTTTCATGCACTTCAGTATTAATTGAGGGCGTAAAATTATTAAAAGTTTTAAATTAAGAGCAATCAAGTAAACTTGTAGCATGAATTGGCTCTGAAGATGCCAAGTCAAGTCCTTTTTCGACTTGAATCAAGTTAAATTAAGCCGAGTCAAATGACATGTGGCTTAACTTTTAGTTATTGATTTTTACTTGACTTAGATAAAAAAATCGTTGACTTGCTCATATCTAACCGAAACCATCATCATAGTAAATGGGTGCACATCTTTATATATCTTTTGGACTAATCGATCTTTTCTTTCTCAGAAATGAGAACTAAGGAATCAAACAGTTTTCGAATGATTATGTACAATAATCAAATTTTTAGAAGATGTTGAGGTCTTAGATGAAAGTAAAATGAGACAGTTTTTCGATTAGATTATTCACAGTTATGTTTGTTAAGAAACGTAGTGCTGTATGAAATGTATGAACTCGTTGTAAAGCATAGATCTTATATGAAGCAAAATTTAATAGTTTTCTCAGAAATATCATGGATATCGAGTTTGATAGAAAACCAAATGATTATTAGCAAATAATTGCATGAGTTTTCATAATTTTGATTTTTGAGAATAACATGTTAAGTTTCATTACGTTCTAAGAAGTGTTGAATCGTTTAGCGATTACAATTTTCACTTAATAATAATGCTCGCCGGGGAAAACAAAAAGCGAGTGATAAAAATCGTTCTTCTACAGCAATTGTTGACATCAATTGGTCGTTAGTGTATGATAATGACGATGGTTCTTAAACATTTTTATCTAACTTTCTAGGGTCCAATTGAGTGTAGTTCATTTTCGATAAAATGATAAGAGATTCAAACAGATGCGGACAAGAGATTGAGACATGGTCAGCTTTGCTAAATTCGTTTTAACATGTAACGCGAATGAAAAAAATACAATAGATGTCTTCGAAAATCATTGTTAGAAGGTATCTTTTAATGGAGACGCGGGAGTGCGGTATAGGCTTCTCGTACCGCATACCGCCGATCTCTGCTTTGTTCATTATTATTGGAAGTGTTCGACGACGAGCAGAAGCATAGAAAAGACATAAACAACTTGTTATCAAGTCCTGTAATTCTTTTTCTTTACCAGTACTACGTTTTGTTATTTCTTTATTATAAGAATGTATCAATGTGTCTTGTCAATTATATTCGTATCTTTTTGCTTATTTTATCTTTGTTGTATTTATTCATTCCTGGAAATTATACGTATCAAAATTCAAAGAACTATTCATAAAATGTCGAAAACGAATAAATTCACTAAAAACTGATTTTCTATTTCCAATTATTCTATTTTATTCATTCACACAAATAAACAAACAAACAAACAAAACCATCACTCCTTGCTTTTCTACTCTCTCAAATGTCTCCATGTAGATTGTTTATTTAAAAGTATAACATATTAACATCAAAACATCGATTCGTCGATTCTCTCTTTTTCTTTTCTCGGATTTTATTTTCGTTGTTGTGTTAAGAAGAACAAACTCCTATAAATAAATGAGAATAATCTTTACTATATTATATATTCGATCGAAGCAAAAATCTTGATCAAATTTTTGAAATCATGTCTGTGAACATTATCTTGATTTGTGTCGTTTTGTTGAGTGAGTATGATCTGTTCGATATGATATAATTATACATTTTTTGTAATATTAAGTTATTCAACATTCTGTAGCCAGTCTCAATTGCTACTTCTGCGTTGGAGGCACTGACGGTTGCGGTTCAAAATTCAATTCGAAAGGCAGTGGAGTCGTTCAGCTTGAAGCCAGTGCAAATCTTGTGTGTATGGTACGTAATGAGTGCGATAGAAGCTATGATCTCATTCTTACTTTGTAAATATCTCGACTGTCATTCAACGTGAAATATCGGAGTTGACAAGTATTATCTATAGATTACTATTCCAAATACAAAAAGATTTTGTTAAATGCGAGTGCATCATTTGTACTACCACAGTCATTCTTTTAACTTATAGTTGGTGGCTTATGAAGGTTTTCTTCTTTTAGAAAAGTGTACATTCTACCAATCCGGATAACATAGATCGATGGGCATACATTGCTCCTTGTACAACTTATATTACACCTGGCTCATCTCTGTCCGATGAGACTACTAGTTACTGTTGTGATACAGATCTATGCAATGGTGCTCAAATCAAATCAGCTAGTATTACGATTGGATTAGCATTGGTAGCACTGGTTCTCTTTTACTGCAAATGAACAGTCTCTTAACTCTTTTATAAACTATTTATTCCTTTTGTTATCCAAATTTCTATCGTTTGTTTTCTTTTTAATAAATTTCAAAGACCATTTTTTTCATCTTATTGTAATATAAACAAACTTATTCATGATTAGAAGTATTAATAAAAGCATCCAGCATGAGAATTCAGCAAATATATGAGTTTGAAGTTAAGAACGATGTTTCCTTGTGTTGTAGGCGACATCTCTCTCATATACATATACTTTCTCTCTCTCTCTCTCTCTCTCTGCCTAGATCAATTGTTATACCTTCTATCTCCCTAGATCTTTTGTATTAGTGATATCTTCTTTTGTTCCTGTGATATCTATTCACTTTTCTTTGTACGCTGGCATATAAATATGTACGTGTGATAGTGTGAAGAGAGAGCATCGAGAGGAGTGTTTTTCCACGCGTGTAACTTTACATTTTCACAATAAACTAAGAAGTTCCGATAACACAAATCATCTTGTCTCTAATACCTTGGAATTTCTCAAAAGTCGTAATGAAAAGACCATTCATTCTAGAGTCTTAAAGAGATTAAAATGCATCCGGCTATGGGTGAAACTTTCGACGAAAACTGATTTCTCCTTCCAATTATTCTATTTTATTCATTCACACAAATAAACAAACAAACAAACAAAACCATCACTCCTTGCTTTTCTACTCTCTCAAATGTCTCCATGTAGATTGTTTAGTTAAAAGTATAACATATTAACATCAAAACATCGATTCGTCGATTCTCTCTTTTTCTTTTCTCGGATTTTATTTTCGTTGTTGTGTTAAGAAGAACAAACTCCTATAAATGGATGAGAATAATTTTCACAATGTCATATACGCAATCGAATAGGAACTCTTTCATTTGAATTTTATTGATCAAACTTTTAAAATCATATCTATGAATATTCTCTTGATTTGTGTCGTTTTGTTGAGTGAGTATGATCTGTTCAATATGATATAATCATATATTTTTTCGTAATATTTAGTTATTCAACATTCTGTAGTTAGTCTCAAGTGTTACACATGTCAGGGAGGTGTTGATGGTTGTGGCACATCATTCAATCCAAAGGCCAGTGGAGTGATTATAGTCGAAGATAGTGGAAATATTGTGTGTAAGGTACATGAAGAGTATGGTTAAAGAAAACTAGTCCCCTGACTCTTCCGATAAGAATTTGTATTGTCACGATGGATAATAGAGTTATAAAATGCGACTAAAATTGTGATTAACTGATTAATGAGCTAAGAAAAAGCCATAATAAACATTATAATGATTCTCACTATTCTGCGATAGATCATGATTGATAAAGAACTATATTTTTTTCACTTCTAGAAAATTGTGGCTACTAGTAATCAAAACGCTGTACAACGAGGCCCTGGTACTACCAGCTGCACAACTTATACGACGGTCTCGGTAGCATTTCCACCTACCCCGGCGGCAACTCACTACTGTTGTGATACAGATCTGTGCAATGGTGCTCAAATCAAATCGGGCAGTCTGATACTCGGCTTAGCATTGGCTACAATGGCTTTCTTTTACTTCAAATGAACATTTTTCTACCTCTTTTACCATTCAAATTTCTATCATTTATTTTCTTTTCAATAAATTTCAAGAAGCATTTGCCTCATCTTACAAATCAAATATTTCTTTATTCGTTCAATACTTTTAACAAGATTTGAATATTAATATAAATGCCACTGACCAAGAGTAAACAATAAACGTATGATTTCTAAAGGAATCTCGTGCGAATAAAATAAAATTCTTTACAAATGTTTTATTCAGCTATAAAAATTCAATCATTCTTTTTCACGAGACAATGTGCAAAGAAGGTGTTCTTTTACTTCTTCGATGCCACTGAAGGCTTCGCAAAACATCATTTGCTTTAGAAATCTTAGACAATATTAAAACACATCATTTTATGGGTGAAACTTTCGACGAAAACTGATTTCTCTTTCCAATTATTCTATTTTATTCATTCACACAAATAAACAAACAAACAAACAAACAAAACCATCACTCCTTGCTTTTCTTCTCTCTCAAATGCCTTCGTGTAGATTGTTTATTTAAAAGTATAACATATTAACATCAAAACATCGATTCGTCGATTCTCTCTTTTTCTTTTTTCTCGGATTTTATTTTCGTCATCGTGTTTAAGAAGAACAAACTCCTATAAATGAATGAGAATAATCTTTACTATATTATATATTCGATCGAAGCAAAAATCTTGATCAAATTTTTGAAATCATGTCTGTGAACATTATCTTGATTTGTGTCGTTTTGTTGAGTGAGTATGATCTGTTCGATATGATATAATTATACATTTTTTGTAATATTAAGTTATTCAACGTTCTGTAG